TGAGATAGGCCGTATCTAAAAGATATACCATCAGATTTGGTAAAAAAGATTTGGTGATTAGCGGATTCGATCAAAACTATGGTCCGCTTGAAAAGAATAACTTGAAAATGTAACTATGCTGAAGCAAAAATAACCTCATCTGCGCCTATCGTCTCGATATCCATGGAAGAACAATTATCCACATCTCGAATTGGGCCCATAGCGGCTTCGGCACACAGTTGCCTCACATCAGCGCCCGAATAACCTACAAAAGAGTAAAGAGTAAATGTATAACATTGAAATCATCAGAAGCGATCACAGAGAACCTGCCTTCTGTCAATTCCGCTATCCGATTATAGTCTTCCTCCTCGAGTGAATGTTTCATATCAGTAAGTAAATTTTTGACAATAGTCAGTCTTGCCTCAGCTTCCGGCAAAGCGATATAAAGACGCTTGACAAAACGCCGTCGAGCAGCTTCATCAAGCTCTTGTGGGCTGCAAAATATTACGATGCAAATGCTATGATAGAGCAAACATATTTAATCAAAAGGACATTGCTTCAGGGAGAAAAAGCTTCTGAGATGACCCTTTATGATCTCATGTACTAGCTTGTTTTAGCTAAAAATCACCCTCGAGCCCTCATTAATTGAGAATTTACTGACAAAAATGACTGTTTACCGATTTGTTGCTGCGAGGACCAATAATCGTTCGTCTGAGTTCGTTGCGACACCATCCAGTTGTACCAGAAATTCCGTCTTGATACGACGAGATGACTCGTGCTCTGTATCCGAACGAGAAGAAAGAAGCGAGTCAACCTGAAAACTTCTTTCAAAGACTTTTGCGCAAAATTATTATTTTCGCAGGAGTCCTCATTAAAAAGCATTATAATATTCGTGAATGCCGATTTGAAAAAAAAACCAATTAAGAGAAAGTACATACTCACCTCATCGATAAAAATAACACTCGGAAGCTTCAATCTGGCCACAGAAAACAGGGCGCGCACCAGTTTCTCGCCTTCTCCTACCCACTTCGACGTCAACGAACTTGCAGATATGTTGAAGAAGGTAGCTTTACACTGCGAGGCTACACACCTACCTAAAAACAATCAATCTCGAAATGAGAGAGGCACACAGAATAACCAACTTGATGCTCACCAATCATAGTCTTCCCGGTACCAGGAGGACCAAATAATAAAACTCCCTTAGGAGGAGCTCGTATCCCTTTGAACATATCCCTAGAAAAACGTGCACCTGTGGGGTTCCCAATAAAAATAAATAAATTTCTAAACGGCAATGATAACATAAAGCATTACGGTCTTTTGAAAGGCAGAACTACAATTTCTCGCAGAGCTTTTTTCGCTCCTTCCAGACCAGCCACATCAGACCAACCCGTTTCATGTGTGACGGACATGATCTACAAATGATGCCAAAAGAGTGATTCAATGTATTGTATCGGACAAATTGTGAAAATGCGCCTTTCAAGACTATGTGCTACAGAAAAAGCTTTGCTGACGAGCAATTCTTAAGACGGTAATTAAAATCAGTTCACTACTTGTTGTATGTATTCAGTCCCGTTGGAAGATCATTGCGCTTCCTTCGAGTCAGTCCGAATCAAACTATTTTCCCAACTTCAAATCATTAGCTCTCTGCATTCAACACTACACAAAATTGTTCCATAAAATGCTTCTTCAGATGTCAAGGTAGTTTTCTTTACCCGTTGCAACAGGCCTAACGCCCAATGAAAACAAATCTGCTTTATGGCATAAGCTTATGGTTTTTTTTACTATGATTTTGTTACCTTTCCCCAACACCTCATTAGTATGGCTTCAGCACTTGACAGTAACAAAGACAAGTCTGTACTCACCTCTGACTCAATAAGAGAAATTATATTCTCGTCGAAATGCTTAAGAGTTGGTTCTGCTCGAAGTCCAGATGCAGCTAAAACAAAATCAAGGTTACAACCATGGCAGGAGACTACTGTAAAAGAATGAAACGAAGGGAACTTTTATGGGCGCACCTCCGCTTCCACCATTTACATCCATCATTTCCAAAGCTTTCTTAACCATAGGCGGGGGATTGAAAGCAGGGGTGATCCTCCTGAAATAATTGTATTTGACCAGAACAAATGAAACATTTGGAAAAATATCTAAAGGATATCGGAAGCCATACAGACTCCAACAAAGATGACGTGGGAAATTCACGGATAAATATCAACCCGGTTGCCAAGCTTTCCTTAAAGAACCTTTTTGGATTAGTTTTTCGTTCCAGTAGGGCAAATGAAGCGAATGGGAATACTAAGACATTGCACAGAAAGCAAAAAAAAAACTCATTTATTGCCAAGATAACGCTTCGAAACTTCTCCACCTTCCGAGGTTGTTGGTGCAACATGTTCATTATTACATTTGTCCTAAATTTCAATATTTTTCCAACAAGGCTATCACATCAACTCATTAATGACAATACTACAAATATTTATCACATGTATAAATGTCATGTATATAGACATCCGAATATGAAAATTAACAAAAAGATGTATATGTATGTAAATAAAACAGAGATCCTGTGTCAATCAACTTACATTGGAATTCCCTTCTTCAGTGACAACCTGCTTCATCTCCTTGACAATCTCGCCGCCAGAAGCCATTTTGAAATCTGCCAGTGAAGAAAGTTTTTCCCAGCTTAAAATATATAACCAATAGAAGATTGGCAATATAACCAGAAAGTGACAAATAGACCTCTTCGGCTTTTTTGTCTTTCCTCCGTTGACCAGCTGCATGCCTTTACATGAAGTCGATGCAATTGCATCATGCAACTCTTTGTCGTCATCTCTCTTTCTATCCTGGAAGGCATGGTTCAGTGTGGTGTAATGTAAAAATGTATTTGTCGTAATGAAAATGTATTTGTCTGTCACAAATTTAGATGTCTAGAAAGAAGCTTTGGATATGGATTGAACGATACGGTCGCATTTAGTAAGTGAATGATCTCGAACTCCTATTGAAGCAATCATTTCTATGCTCCCAGACGTAGTCCTGATCCTTAGCACCTATGGGTGTTCACACCAAGAGCCACACTCTGACCAAAAAGCAAACAATCAGCCGCTGTCATCATTATCTTAGACAAGCTTCGTAGTTAACCAGTGTTAAAGCCAAAGGCCGTAAGGACAGATGGATCGGTCTGACTTTATACGATCCAACTGAGTGATTTTAGAGCTAAGCGCGATCGGTATTTCAGCCAGGGTAGGTGCTCGCCGCTCCTGGGAAGGTAACAAGGAAGCTCTGCTAATTGTAAGCTACACATGTAAAAGCTGTAGTCAGCCGATATACGAAAAGAACGAAGTAAAGCGTGCTAAACGCGCTAAATCTTAGCAAAGGTCTTAAACCTATCGATAAATCCATCAAGGCCGCCGCCCGTGGCATGCCGCCTCTCGCTTTTCGTCCACAGTGGACTATAAATGCGGTGCAAATGGCAGAGCGAATTTCAGATTGATCGCGGAATAACAGGCAAGAAAGCGAAAGGTACAAGAACAAAAGAAACTTACTGAGTCTACAATGGACACAATGACTTCGCGAACCCTCCGAAGTTTTGGATCATTGCTGAAATCGAACGCCATGCCGTTACTCGCACTTAACGATCCTGTGGTCACGGTCACCGCTGAAGTTTGGCTTAACGGTGGCAACTTCCGCACACTTTCACTCCGATTGCTCTAAAGCGAAGCAAGGGATCGTCTGACATTTTGAAAAAAAAGTGGAGCATACTGCACTCACCGCCGGTGATCCCGCCTTAAAGCCTTCACCACCAAAACCGTAGGACGACAAAGTACTCTCTCCCTTTTCCATGCGCCTTCGAGAATTCTTATGCTTTCCGATAAAGTATGGACTACTCGCTGTTACGGCGAATCTAGCAGGAGGATAAATTGCATCCGATCTGCCTTTTCTCTCCGGTCTTAACGGAGGAACCATCAAAACCTGAACTTCAATGGCTGATGAGAGTAATTATGAAAACCCAGTCAGAGACAAAACGGTATGTCATGTTATAATTCGAGAAATTGCAAATCGAAAAACGTTTTTAAGAGCCATTTCCTTACAGATTCATTTCGTTAGAAAATAGTAATTGTATTGCAGCGGAAGCGAAAATATAGTACAGGAACTGGGTTCTTTCTCAATGATCCAACTGCGCGTCTGACTCGAAGGAATGGTCGTGATGCAATGAAGCCCAATGGGTACCTGCCCAAGTGCCCTTGCCCAAAGTCGCCTTTCGATGCGCCATTTAGGTGGGGGATTGAAGATGTGTGAACAGATAGGCGGTGAAAATATAAACGAGAGGGGGGGGGGGGGGGAGCGCACATTGCGTTGTCAGTATTACAAAAACTTAACACAGTGTTACTTGTTGAACCGTGTTATATCAGGGACGAGCGTTTTGTTAACTAACCTCAGAAGGGTGGCCCTGCACTTTGTGGCCGAATTTTCAGCTTTCTGGTAACATAGCAAGTATTAACACGTAATATCGTGTTAACTCTTGGATATACAACAATGCTGCGTGTTCTCCCCCCTCCCCCACCTTCCCAACTACATTATCACCCGGTTATGCCATTAACAGGGTTATGCCGGAACGGTAGGAAGGTAGATTATTATTTGCAAAATTATGCGTCCACGGCATATTGATTCTCCGTAGGGACACTGTAAGAACCGAGTTCTCGTGCTAAAAATTCGTTCCTAACTGTATGTGTGAACGATACTGAACACTAGTTCCAGGTGCTTCAGAATCCCCTCTTCAAACGTGAACGGCAAATAAATTTTATATGAACCCTCTCTACTGACGGAGATTTTAGTCAGAAATGAGAACACGGGTTTGTGAAATCTGTTAGAGTGAGGAGCAAGCTTCACGCTTGTTACAGTATTTTCAATTAAACCGCTGCAACAAAATCTGTTTCAGCGACCGTTCCCGACTGCCGTTCTAATTGAACATAGGCTTTGAAAAAATTATATTACTTAACCCGAGTGAAAGTTGGGATTGTAAGCTGTCAGAAAAGGTAGGGCAAAAAGATTGACGTTCTAATGATGAGAATCGTTCCTCACAACAGAAAAGTGAGTACGTCACTGAAAGTTCAAAGCTAAATGAAGCCAGAAAAAAGTGAAGATACCACTTTTGAATTTTCGCCGCCAAACGCAAACTGAACTTGAAAAAACAGGACACTGGGCCTGCATACTCGTTGACTCATGATATAACTAGTACAATTTGAGCGTAATTTTCATGAAGTACAGGCTTTTCTGTAAAAAAAAAACGTGAAATGAAGAACTGATTCCGAACGGGCCTTTAGTTTTTGAATGCAAAAGTGGGTTACAGGGCTGTTGTCAACCAAAATTTCTCTCGTTGAGAGGATCAGGCGGTGATGCAATCTCTGCGTCTCGCGTTCACCAGCGAGAGGAGGGCGTGTCCGCTCGTTGTCCGTACGCTCCTTCATAGCGCTCTCGTCAAGAGTGGATGGTCGAAGGGTCCGAGAGTCGAAGAATTTTCACAAAGGCAGACTTCTCCCAACTATGGAAACTTCGTATTTCAAAGTTCAGGTAGTCTGAGAAAAGGAAAGGCTTGTTCCTTGTCCAAATATTAATAAAACACTTGCATAGAACATCTACACCGAGGAAAATCTGTGTAGCTTGTAGAAAACCCAAGTTTGCAACCTATGTGCTACTTTGCTTTTATGGGAATCAGCGCTGAGATCGACAATATCGTTTGTAGATCTGTAATACCATTGATTCCAATTTTTCGCTAGGTATCCCATTGTATTACTGGTAATAGGAGGCATTGAGGTATGGCGAGCTCTTTCGTCTGCCCTCTGTCCTCTTCGCAGTGAGATGCCCATTTGGGGAGATGCAGAGAAAACGACAAAAACGCTGAGTCACTACACACGCGGTTGACAACGGTCCTGT